TATCAACATAGATTTAGTGTATACTATCTAATAGGCTAGTATTGATTGGTATGAGGTAATAACTTAGTCAAATATCGAATACAATGCTTAATATGAGGTAAAGGTAAGGGTCAGTATAGCAACACACATAGCCGGACCAAGGTGCGGAGTGAAATTTTCTAGATGCCGGACCAAGGATTTAGAAATACATAATTTATCACTTTACATGCAAGATACTAGGAAAGAATCGTTATAGTTAGAATTATCAAGTTAGGAACTTGTGGGGAACACGTAAACCCTAGTTACTTTTATTAACTGATTAAACTCCAACATTTGAATCTGTTAGTGGTCTACTTTGATTTAGCTAATTATTTTCATTTTTTAGAAATAAAAACCTCCCTTTTATTGTCTTTGTTTTTCAAGGAAATGATTGACTAAATAGTAGTAATAATAGATTAAAATTAAGTCTGAACTATTTTCCTCATGGGAACGATCCCAACCTCATTAGTTGGGTTCTTTACTTGATACAACCGCTTTACTTCTTATTTGAGAAAAAAGTTTGAGCGTATCAAATTTTGGTGTCGTTGCTGGGGAGCCATCAAGAAGGCTAACCTGACCTTCACGGCGAAGTTCTTATGGTTGATCATCCGCCACTACCTTTCCCCCACAGCCACTGATAATATAGTCACATGGGATCGTGCAGTACTAATGGCGGCGATGATAGACGGGTTTGAGGTGTTCTTTGCTTAGCTTCTACAGACGGTCATGCACGAGAGGGCTTTTAAGGTCCCAACTACTTACTTTTTCCCATATATGATATTTTATTTATGAAGGTCCGCAAGTGTGCCTATCTGGCACATTGATTAGCTCAAGACCCCACTGGGCACTATTGATATCGGCCTCATCAATAATAAGGCCAATGAGTTGGCTCCATGGAGAGAGCCCCATCTAGATTTGCCTTCACTTGGTGACAATGTGGCTGATACGGTAGCACAGGATCACACGGCTAGGCAGGCTGATTCCACTGACACTACCCCGGTCGAGTCTATCCCGGGTAGTAGCACTACCTCGAGCTCCTCTCGCAGAATTTTTCCCTACTCTGGTCCCGCTTTCTAGGGTCCAGAAACTAGCCGCACAGATGGCTACACTTCTGCATCACATCCATCCTTAGATGTAGAGGTCTATTGCTGAGGCAGGAGAGCGCTTGGAGCGGAGAATGGTCCAGCACACAGAGAGGAAGATCGCTAAGGTTCTTCAGCGCTTAGACGCTTTGGATTTGTGGGTGCTTGCACGGCCAGCCCCTCAGGTGGATGTGTCGACCCTTCAGGTTGCGGTCAAGAGTTTTCGTGCAGGCATCGATAGGATCTTAAAGTCTAGGATGCTTGAGTCTGAGGTCCCTTCTGCTGAGGCTGCTGAGGACACAGTAATAGCGGCCTTATTCTCCACTTCAGAGATTCCACCACCTTCCCCTCGAGATCATGCCAAAAGGCGTAGGGGTAGAGAGTAGGATGAGGCTAGAGCACGGAATAAGGAGCACCGTGAGATGGAGAATGCGAGGAGATCCTTACTTGCTGATGAGGAGGCGCGTCGGATGAGGGCAGTAGAGTTAGTTGTTGGGGAATCTAGCTCCAGAAATGTGGAGATAGCGGGAGGCACTGCTGATAGTGTTGTTGCTACTAAGGACACTAGTGAGGTTGTCCAGATTATAGAGGTAGTGGGTTCCGGTGAACTGGACCCACCAGCTTGCTGATCGTTGGCGCTTTGCGCCCCAAGTTTGCTTCACCTACCACTCTTGTATTTTAATTTTTTTTACGCATTGGGGACAATTGCATGTCTTTTGTTGGGGGTGGGGTAAATGGAAAGTGAGTGCTAGGGTGAAGTCTGAGTAGCCCAATTCACTATCCTCTTTTAGGGTTTTCTTGCCTGTGTTCTTTTTCCCTAAGAGACTGATTATTTTTACTGTTGAACCGGCATGTCTATATCTTGTATACATAGTTTAACTCGGAAGCATGATGGCTAAAATTATATCATGATGAAATGAAAATGATGCATGACTAGTAATAGTAATTGATAAATGTGTGGCTCAAAGCATGACATAAAGGTACACCACTGCATGACCCTAAGTCTAAAATTAGAACTAGGTGTCTGATAATCTGGTAGAGTAATGAGAGGTCAAGTGAGAGTGAGGAAGATTTGAACAGTCCACTATTTGTACTGATCTAGAACTTGCCTGGTTAGTCCTGCTAAAAGTAAGTTGTAATAAACAACTAGGAAGGATCATAGGCCCCTATTCAATATAGCCCATTTTTAGCTGAAATAAAAGAAAACCAAATGAAATTATTCCTTCTTTGATCCAAATTATTTGAGCTTAAACTAGACCTTTCTTTTTCACCCCAACTGATCTTTTCTGAGAATAACACGTTGGCCCTGGTCCCTCTTTGGATATGTGCACCTGAGCTTATGCCAAAAGCATAAGTTGAGGGCAGATAATTCAGTAAACAACCCTTTTTATGGCCCTAACCCAACTTTGGGTATTGTGTACTTTGACTTATGGCAAAGCCATGAGTTTAGGGTGGCTATTATGAGGAATGCTCTGGAAAGTGGGATTGAAAGAACAAAGACAGAGAAAGAACAAAAGTAAAGTGACTTAAGAACCAGTTGAAAGAAAAGTGAAATAAAAAAAAACATAATATAATAAATACAAGCAAGAAAAGAAGAGAGTCACTTGCACAAATAAAGAAAGAAGGGAAAATAGCAAGGTAAAAGAATATGGGAAATTGGGAGAAATAAAATGATGAAAAGAGGTATGTTTAGCCGATATGTCAAGGAGGGAAAAAGTCACTTAAGTATACCTAAATATACCCTACCTGACCCTGAGCCTATGATACAACCTAAGAAAGTCCTATCGTGATCCTAAAAGTTGTATAGTGAACTTAAAGCAGTGAAAATAAGGGCAAGCTTATGGCAATATGTATGAATGAGTTGTGAATATGTTCTGAAAGTGAGCGTTAAAAAGTAATCCTTATACTCAAACTAAAATCATTGTGTGAAAAATGAGGATATTGTTTTGAACTGAGGACACTAGTTGCACTACCGAAAATATTAGCACCTCGGTGAGATATTGAAGAGGATAGGTGTTAGTGCGTGGTGAGTCTATGTAACGGTTTGATTCCACATAATTCAAGCCTAATAGTGATAGCATGCAAAAAAATGATGAGACTGATCGGTATTGATAGCCAAATGATTGCGAAAGATAAAACATGGATACTATTGTACAAAGGTTTTGTATTGAGTCATAGTGCGTCGCTTAGGACAAACAACGAATTTAAGTTGAGGGTGTTGATATACTGTGGTTTCACGGTATTGTTAATGCTTTTTCCTTAAGTTTAGTGTGTATCCAAAAGCCTTTTTGTATTAACTTTAATGTAAGTTTCTCTTTATTTGCAGGAAATCTGTCTAAAAGATGAACGCAAAGGTTTTTGAGCAAGAAATGCAGAAAAGTACCACCTACGGAGCTTGTGACGGTCCGTCGTGCCCATGACGGTTCGTAGGTGGCGTCGTAGTGAAGTTGCTGAAGGAAGATGGGGAAGTCTGACCAAGTGTGGGGTTACGGAGTGTGTGGCGGACCGTCGTAGCCATGACGGTCCGTCCTGCTAGTTCGTCATGAAGATCAGAGAAGTAGTCCCAATACCTAAATTCCAAGAGTTCAAGTGTTATGGAACAGAGAGCCTCGATGGACCGTGGTGCCTGTGACGATCCGTCATACCAACGTTAGAACTCGCCTTAATGCTATTTGCCAGACCAAGGAGATAGATAATAGGAAAAGAATTATCAACATAGATTTAGTGTATACTATCTAATAGGCTAGTATTGATTGGTATGAGGTAATAACTTACTCAAATATCAATTACGATGCTCAATATGAGGTAAAGGTATGGGTTAGCATAGCAACACACGTCGCCAGACCAAGGTGTGGAGTAAAATTTTCTAGATGCCGGACAAAGAATTTAGAAATACATAACTTATCACTTTGCATGCAAGATACTAGGAAAGAATTGTTATAGTTAGAATTATCAAGTTAGGAACCTGTGGGGAACACGTAAACCCTAGTTACTTTTATTAACTGATTAAACTCCAACATTTGAATTTGTTAGTGGTCTACTTCGATTTAGATAATTATTTTCATTCATTTAGAAATAAAAATCCTCCTTTTATTGTCTTTGTTTTCCAAAGAAATGATTGACTAAATAGTAGTAATAATAGATTGAAATTAAGTGTGAACTATTTTCCTCGTGGGAACGATCCCAACCTCATTAGATGGGTTCTTTACTTAATACAACCGCTTTACTTCTTATTTGAGAAGTTAGTTTGAGCGTATCAAAGCTCAATATGTAATAACACTCAAGTCACACATTTGCATATAAGAATAACAACTCATAAGGCAATTAAGCAAATACCATTAGTTGGGTTCTCCCCAAGTAGCTATTATATCATCAAGAGCATGCAAAACATTATACCATCAAGGCACTCATAACATAAGGAGATACGAAATCATACTAAAATGCAAGACACCATAACATAACAAACTATTAAGAATTTAGGTATCAAACATGAGTAAAAATAGAAGGAAAATAACGATATCAACCGTCTAATGAGCCTTCACTCCGGATTAGCTCCTTTGCTAGCTTATAGTGCATAGAAACGATTCTTCTTTGGAGCATTAGGATCCGGAACATCATGATGAGCTTAGTTGATCTACTTCCCTTGTTCGATAAGGACCGGGAAATCTCTCATCTTATGACCCCTAATACCACATCCAAAATATCCATCCTTACCGACAATACACTTATCCAAGTGTTGTTTCCCACATGTGGTACACTTAGGTCTCTCATGTGTATAGCCACCTCCACTCCCTCCTTGATAATTATGGTTGGGAACACTATCCTTGATCCCCACGGAAGAATCTTGATTATAGAACCTCTTCTTAGACTTATCTTAACTTAGTTCATCCGACTTAACCCTTTTCCCATCTCTATTCATCTTCCTAAGCTTGGACACCTTAATTTATTGCGCATACACCATCAGTATTGAGATATCCATATCATGATGGAGCATTTTCATACGACACTCTTCCTCAACTAAACAAGACACCCCCATCATGAACTTAGTCATTCTGGCCCTAGAGTTGTCTACCAAGGTTGGGGAATACTTAGAGAGTTGGGTGAACTTGAGATAATACTTCTTTACATTCATTCCCCCTTAACGAAGGTTCATGAATTCTACTAACTTTTTCTCCCTCACTCTATAGGGAAAAACCTATCAAGAAAGGTCGTCTTGAATACTCCTAAATCTACCGGGCCTTCCCTTACGGGTCTCTCATACCTGTCTTTCTCAAACCACACTTGTACCACATCTTTTAATTGGTAAGCGGCTAGTTCTTCTTTCTATCTAGGATTCACTCCCATAAAATTCACCACCTTGAATAATTCATCTATGAAGCCTTGTGGATCTTCATCAACCTTAGTGCCATGGAAAGTAGGAGTATTCATCCTCACAAAGTCTTGGATTCTAGAAGTTGGAGTATTTGCATTGGTTTGAGATCCAACTCCTAGGTTAACTTGGGACATCATATAATTTTTGAAAACTTGATATTGAGTCGTCATGAGTTGGGTCAAAGCTTGAAAATCATCCCTTATCTCCATATTAGACATATCGCATTCAACATTGGGAGATTGAGGACCTTGGGTCACTTGAGGGTGAACCTTCTCATTCACATTCTCTTGGTTGGCTATAGGGACTTGTTCATCCTGGGAAGAACTCCCTCATTAACCACTCCTTCCTCCTCTCTTCTTGAGGGTGCCCTTTTTGTATTCACATCCTATATAAACAAGAGAAGATATTAGGAAACACACTTAAAGAAATCAACTCTATGGCACGATACAAAAGTAATAAAGAAAGTGAAAAATCTATTGCACTATAGCCTCTCACTTATAAATGAGTTGTGACTCACACCGACGAACAAGACTATACAAGACGTGGCTTTTGATACTTTTGACCCTAAGACTATCTTCCCAAAATCTTATTCTCTATTAAATTGTTTGTACAACTAGGGAGCACCCCTTAGAAGTCACAGGACGTACTCAATCTCTCGGAGGTCTTCTACAAGCCACTTAGTTTTCATTTTTCTTACATAGGTATGAAAAGTAGTGAGGAAATTTAAACTCTTTTATAATCTAAGAAACAAGTCTCATCATCACAACACAACTTAGACACGTCTTAAAATCATAAGGTCACGACCCTTTACATTGAAAGAAACATACTAAGTTTAATACATACTCCTTAAAGAAAAAAACTAAAAAAACATAGTTCATGTCCTTGAACATATGAGGACATACCAAATCTTGAGAGAATCAAATTCCCAAGCTTTGCCTTCTAAGAACTTTCAATTGCCTTCAACCTATACCTTTAGAAATATAGACGAGTATGGAGTTAGTAAAAACATTGGACTAAGTATGGCAATATGCAAAAACATGATAAATAGGACATTTTAGTTGAAATAAAACTTTCATGCTAATTTACTAAAACTTTCATGAATCAAGTTTATAAAGCATCATACAGTTTATCATTTCGCATACACGGTAAAACTTTCATACTTCAACATTTAAACTCATTTATCAAGTAATCCATTATTCTTTTACACCTTCCTATCCAAAGTAATCTCCTATTCTCATAATTTGGTATACATTCTAGTGTTTTATAGGTTCTACAAAGTTTAGTTAGTGTAATGGGACGCTATCTAAACATTGCACGAGTAGGCTTTGAAGATGCTACTGTGTAGATTCTGTAGGTCTTCTCCAAGACCATTATGTGAAAATCGTTGATTGTTGAATGTCTCTTAAATTACTTAATTAACATAGTGACTTCAGCGAAATGCATGTAAATGGAAAAGTATATATCTAGTGTAGCTTTAAGGAATGGTTAGGTAAGCTTGGAGAGAGTGTATTGGTGGTCTCTTCATGTTTTACTTAGGTCTGTCTTCAAGTAAATTTATGGATCTCTTAGGTGTGTGTGAAGGGGTTTATGGTCCACTTCATCTCATTCAAGTGAGTTTTGGGAGGACCTTTGGTAGGAGTGTATTATGCTTGTATGAAATGATGATATGTTATATTTTGTAAGGTGACTATATGTATTTATGTTGACGTGTCAGTGACTCTTATACTTGTGTTGAAGGTTTTATTCAAAAAGTGCATAATATATTCAAATGTCCTTTTATCATGGTTTTAATTGCACGTCACCATACTTAGTGCATTCTAATGTACTAATTCCATATATTTTGTCTTCTATCTATTGGTGTGGGTGGAAATTGAGAGAAGTCATTTAAGTGAAGCTTGGATATAAGCATTCATTTAAGAAAAGTTGTGGTATGCCCTCAATTGATTTGAGGACATCATTATGTTTAGTTTATTTGTTAAAGACATTGTAATAGACTTAGAATTTCTATTTTGTGGATGTATGATCGTGACCCAAGATATTCGTATGTCTAAGATAGAGACATTGAGACTTAGTTTTTCCTATTATTTCCTAAGAAAGATATTTTGAAGCATTATTATTTAGTGTGAAAAATTCTAATTTCGCACTAATTATCAATCATGTATGTTATGAATGATGTCAAAGGGCATGTACAAGACCTTAGACAGGTCAAGTACAATGAGTTGCGATCCGAGGGAATGCCATATCTTCTAGGGTGTGGTCTCAAGTCATGACAAACCATACCACTCAAGATCGATTCATTAAGAACTAAACAATATAAACCAACTTACCCTTCATCCAAGCCTTGGCCACCTTTTCTCAATATTTCCAATAAATCACCATAATAAGGCATAAAAAGCAGTAAATATTCACAATACAACATAAGGAAACACAACTCTAACATTATCTAATTATATAAATTAAACCTACTTAATAAGTCAAAAGTTGAGAATTTGAATGTTCATGGGTCCATCGAGTTTTTAACCATAAAACAATCACTTTATATTAAAAACATGATAACGCATTCCTAAAAACATTTTTATACAAAGAGTCATGCTTTGAATTCAAAATAAAAGAAATTTAGGAATTTGAAACCCTTTTTGAAAAGTCTTTTGATTGGCTCCTTGAATGAGAAAAGAATCAAGGATAAACTACCATACCTTAGTTGATAAAAATCTCATGAAATTATGGTTGAAACTTAAACAGTTTTGACCTTCCCTTTGATCGTCAAAGCTTCCACAATGGAGGTTTTTTGGAGAAGGGGTACTGGAGAGATTTTCTTTTGAATTTGAGGGTTTTGATTTGATGGGGGGATTGGTGTTTAAAGTGATATAAGAACAACCCATAAATAATCCCCGAAGTTCCCAAAATACTGCTACACTAATTGGACCCTTTTCCAAAGTCTTATTTGACATAAAAATGAAGCGAACAAATCTGGGACATGGTTGTGTGTCACGGGGACACCTCAACATCTTGTAACTGGAATTTATTTAGGGAAAGAATTTTTCATGTTGGCCCCTCATTAAAGGGAAATATTTTACCTTTAAGTGTTGCAAGCACGACGCGCCATTGACCCCAAATCTTGGTTGTCTCGGCAGCTTCCTTGGCAACATTTTGGTCCTTCTTGGGGACCCTTAGGGTGGTCCCCAGGGAGTCTTACTCAAATTCTTTGACCCTTGGTATGTCTCTATAGATTATATGGTCATCCCGTCTTCTATTAGAATGCAAACAAGATCTAAAAACATGAACAGCAAACAAGGACACGATAGTACACAAGGCTAGTTTCTGGACGTCTTGGTCATTCTTTGAAGTTTGACTTTAGACTCTTCAAACTGGTTTCTATAGATATTATTCATAATTTTAACACCTTATTAACTCATAAAACTCATGATAGGCTCTATATTGTCCTATTTCATTTTGAGGGTCGTTACAATCTCCTTATATTGAGCACATTTTTCATGACTTTATGTTTACATGGAAAAGTGATCTTTATTGACCTTTCCCTTCATGTTGTTGTGCATCTATAGTAAATTTCCTAAATGTTGCAGGAGAATACTTATGAGCATGTTTAAAAGTGACTTTGGAAAATGTTGCATAATTGTGCTTTTATGAGAAATTAGCATAATGTGCTTAGAAATGTTGTGATGATATTTGGAGAAGGAATTTCCTGTGATGTGAAATGAGAAATGTGGAGTATTATTGCGTGATGAGTTATCTATGGTATTCCTATTCTGTTGTTGTGTTATGTGTATCTTGGTTGTGGAGTTTATGTTTCTCATTGCTATATGTATTTTTTTATTGATATGGTGTGGTCCTAAGTCTCTAAACCTTGAAAATGTTTAAAGTGTTTTAGTGTTATCAGAGAACAAATGTTTTTCAAGTGGGGGAGTATTAAAACACCCTCAAACGGAAATAGGATGAACTAAAGCCTCACATGGGTTTTTTGAGTTAAAAATTTGTTAAACTAATGAAGAATAGATTTTGAAGTCAGTTTTAAAGGGTTTTGAAGCCAAACATCACTGGCTGAACAAGACGTTTGAAAACTAGTCCTTTATGTCTTGGTGTGTCATAGTATGTTATTCATGTTTTTATGGGTTGTTTTGAGTCGAAAATCAATGGATGTGACCCTAGCATGTTAACACTTGGTCAAGAAGCTCCCATGGGCAGCGCAACCAGTAGCTCTAGGAAGTGTGTCCGCGTAACCTACTTGCTCCAGCCATGAGAAAAATGTGTCTCCACGGCAGGGAGACATCGAAGACCCTTCTGTTACAAAAAATTATTTTCCATAAACTTGTGGGAACACCTCCACAACACAAACTTGTTCTGTGATGAAAATTCCAAAAATAAAAGTCAAGTTTGACTTAATTAAAAGGTCCAACTAATGTAGGGATGTTTTGGGTATTTGGGGGTGTATTATAAATTAAATTTGAGTCATTTTACACCCATCCCCACACAAAAACAAATAGCCAAATCAAAAACCCAATTATGCTCACTTCTCTATGAAATTCTCTCTCTACACAAATCCTCCATTAAAGAACCTTCCAGCTCCAAGGAAGAGGATCAATTTTCAAAGGTTTCAACCCTAATTTAGTGGATAGGTCTTCAATAAGGTATGGTGATTTCATCCTTGATTCTTATATCATTAAAGGAGCCGATTCAAAAGCTTTTCAACAGATCTCAAAAATCCTAAAAACCCTATTTCGAATTCTAAAGCTTAGGTTCTTGCATTAAAAGGTTTGAATGGATGAGTTATGATGTTTTCAATGTTAATTAATGGTTTTATGATTAAAAACTCCCTGAACCCATGTATGTCTTGATTAATTTTGTCTCTAAAGTGGGTGTATTGACTATGACCTAATTATGTTATATTCGAGTTTAGATTGCTATGGCCTATTGAATTCTATGTAGTCTATTGCTGGAATTGTTCATAGTTTACTTTATAGTATTGACTTCTATTGATATATATCATAGGTCATGAAGGAATTATTTGTATAAGGATGAGTTGGTGTTCTTGGCCTTTTGGGCATGATGGTGGGTAAATTCTCTTGTTGTATTGGAAGATCAATAATGGTGGATTGTGACAAGGATAATAGTAAACTGATTCAATGGCTTACTGTAGTAGGATGTCTTGGGTATGGTTTGATCCACTTCTAGTGGAAGTTCCTACTTCGTGTTCTTATTTGATTGTGATCTTAAAAACTCGATAATGTGAATTGAAGGTTTGTTATGTTGTTATGTGAACGATAAGCATATTGTGAAGTTGCTATATGATGCTAAGATGAACTGGTATAGGGATATGTTACATTGTGAATAAAAGCATGTTTCTCTAAATGTTGGTATGTGAGAATGATTGACTATGAAAAATCTTATATTTTGATATGGTGTATTGTTTAGGTAGACCTGGTTTTATTAATTGATACATGAATGATAAATGAGGTGTTCTTAAGTATGTCTTGAACCGGTAGACCTAAGAATGGTGGCCCTTCTTGTTTAGTCTAGAACCCTAAGTGAATGTCAAACCTTGAATATTAAAAGAAGGTTTATAATAAAGTGAATCAGATAGACCTAGCATGGTACCCGTTTCATGAATAAGCTATTCTAATGAACCTTGATCGGTAGACCCTTGTGGATCCCTTCTTGGTAGTGGTATTATGAGTTGGTTGTATTAGAGATGGTACCTTCTGAAATACTGTTACATGAATGAACTTACTCTATCAGAACCAAGTAAAAGCACTGAGTGGATACGCTTAAGGTAGTATCTCTACTTAAAGTATGAGACTAGATTACAAAGAAGCCTTTTAATATCCCCTAAACCATGTGCATACATGGGATGTGTCCTTAGTTCTACCTTTTGCAAGATGAACACCTTTCGCGGTGTGGGGTTTTATGACACTGGATTCCATACCTATCTAGTGTAGCCTATGTTAGTTAATTCCTATTCTTATCATGTAGGATGTTCACTCTAGTTATTGAATAGGTTCTACAACGTCTACGTCGTGGAATGGGATGTTATCAACACATAGTACGAGTAGGTTTTGAAGATGCTAAAGTGAGTTCCCTAGGTCTTCAAGACCATTATGTGAAGTCACTTAAATAAGTAAATATATCCTGTAGTATCTTTAGTAATGAATGTTGACTTTTGTGGTTGTGTTGGAAAGGAAATATCCTTAACTTTTGGTAGCCTTAAAAGGAACACTTAGATGTGTATTAAAGAGGTTGTATGGCCGGTCTCTTCATGTATTACTTAAGTGGGTCTTAGGATAACATTAGATATACTGTATAGATGGTCAAATGGGTTACTTAATGATTATGGTCTTATCTGGAAGATTATGTGAGTATTATCTTATGTGGTTGATGATGGACTTGCACTATATATTTTGCATTTGGTCTATGAAGTTTTTTTTATCAAAATAGCATGAAAAGCATATTTCAACTAAACTATCCCTTTTTACATGATTTCATGCATGGTCATCATACTTAGAGATTAATTATACTAATTCCATATGTTTTTCTAATTCTACAAGTATAAGTGGTGGCAAGTGAGGATTAATAGATTTGAAGCTTGGGAAGTAGAATTCTCTAAAGACATGGTATGTCCTCATATGTCCGAGAACATGGATGTTCTTTCTAGTTTTCTTTCATTTAAGACATTGTATTAGACATAGTTTCATTTTTATGTAAGTTCTATGTCCCTAATTTGATATTCTTAATGTTTAAGTCTATGATGGCTTATGAGAGACTAGATTCCTACTTGCTTCTATAGACTTCCTTTGAAAAAGTGTTTGGTCTTAAGCCTTACGATTTTCATTAAATAGTTTTAAATTTCTGCACTATTTTATGACAATGCGATGAATGAATGCTAAGGGCTTGTATAAGACCTCCGAGAGGTCGAGTACGCCGTGTAGCCAATTGGGGGTGCTGTCGGGTCGTGACAAATACGATGAAAGGGTTACTCATTGAGTATGGTCATGTTTTTTGGTGTGGTATTATCTTATATGCGGATATTGACTTGAAATATGGTTCTTGTACTTGTCTTCATGATATATTACCAAAATAGCATGAAAAGAATGCTTCTATACTAAATATCACTTTTCGCATATTTTTGCATGGCTTTCATACTTAGTGCTTAAATGTGCTAACCCCTTCTCTTTCCCTTTTGACTAAAGTGTAGGAATTGGAGGTTAGGATGCTATGGATGATGGATAGGTTTCTAAGGATTAAAGATGAAGTTTTTTAATTCCTTATAGATTCGAGGACAAGACCTCACATGTTCTTTTATTGTCTTTTAGTCTTTATTTTAAGTTATATATGGGCTTAGTCCCAAATATTTTACTCTAAAGTTTTTAGATGGTTTTATGATACATATTGTAAATTTAGATGTTTTGAAGTATTCCATTTGCTTATTAATGAAAGTATTATTCATGTGTGAAGAAAATTTAAATTCTTATCTATTTTTAAGTATCATATGTAATCCATGTAGCTTGTATGAGACCTTTGAGATGTCAAATAAGTCGGTTACGACAAGGGGGTGCTATCGGGTTGTGACAATATGCCTCTTATACTTGTGTTTATGAAGTTGTATAAAATGGCATAAAATCATATATCTCAAACAAGTTTTCTTTTTTGCATGTTTTTGCATGTTCATCATACTTAGTGCTTAATTGTGTTAACTCCATTCTTCTTCTATGTTTTACTACAAGTGTAGGTGTTGGAAAGTGATGTTCTTTCTATAGTGAGGCTTGGAGTTAGAGTTTCTCTCAAGACCTTTTGGTATATCCTCATATGTCGAGGACAAGGATTCTATGTTACCAGTTTTCTATTGAGACTCTTGTAATAGACTTTAGTTTATTTGATTGTATAGAGTGTCATAATCGTATCTTGTTATTTTTGTCTAAGGATGGTCATGTGAGACTTAGTCTTCCACTGTGTCTTTTGAAATATGTTATATTGAATTTTTAAATAGTTTTGTTTGAATGAAGTTTCTCATTCCTAACTATTTTTCGTATCGAGTGTTATGAATGTTAAGGGTTTGTACAAGACCTTTTCGAGGTCGAGTACGCCGTGTTACGATTGGGGTGCTCTCGATTCGTGATAGTCTACCAAGCTAAGATACATCATTACATTATAGAAACCATTCATATTTCATTATCTACACTCATAAGAATTAAGAGAGAATGTACTTTCCATCACAATACATTAACATTCTCTAGAAAATCATCATTCTACCATAAAAACCACAAGTATAGCCTTCACATCATAATCAAATACACAACATCATGACAATACTTCTATTTCTCATGTAACGGCTTGAAGGCCATGATGACAATGTACATACAAGTAAACACCTCCACCTTCCAAGTGAATTAAAAATTCAAACTTAATTCTACATTAACATGATATTAGATCAAACTTGTCATTTCAAGGCTATAATAACAATTGCTCAATTGAACAGAAGTGACATAGATAATGATACAAATCAATCTACACATGAATCAATTATCATTCATTCACGCAAGAGTCTATAAAATTTTAATTATTCCCATTTTTTTAATGGGTGAATCTATTAGATGGTTGGTGGAATAGCCAAATGATTATATCACTTCTTGGGAAAATTAAAATGAAACACTCTAAGAGAGGTTATTTCCCTCCTCAGATATAGTTAAACTTCGGAACGAAGTCTAAATACTCATACGAATTGGAGGAGAACCTCTAAATTTTGTGACTTCGGATATTACTCTTGCAATGTCAAACCCATGGTGTTCCATATCATTTATTGTTGCAATACTTCTATTGTAGCCTTGATTCAGTCAATAAAGGTTGACTGATCAACTTACCTAAGGTGGATTAATGCGACAAGCTTATGAAGCAACAATGTTGTTTCCAGATTACATGACCAAGGTATATCAAGCATGGTATATAAGAGAAGATCAAGTGTCTATGCTATAATTTAGAATGAGCAAAGAACAAATTGAGAAGGGTGATGTACAAGATAATAATATCACAAAAATGACGACTTAACAAAATTTGTCATCTAGACATGTCATGAGAGATCGGTTTAAATCATTAAACATGGTTAGAATAAGTAGTGAATGTTCCCTGAGGATTACAAAGTTGAGGCATTATACAATGATGAAGTTCAATCTTTGGAAAACCAAATGATGGATTCTTATCAAAATTACAAAAGACAGAGTGGGAATCAAGGTTGGAACAAGAAATATATAGTGGTTGGAATGATTAGAGAGGTGGAAAGTGGAGAGATATGGAGAACGTAAAGGATATATATGTTTATCCCCATAATCGTTTACGATTAAAGGACCTTACTGGACAAGAAGGAAACTTAACTAAGGAAATGCTCACAGGGATCTTCAACAAGGTTGAAGGGTCTGACAAGGTGCTGAAAGAATTGAAAATTACTTCACCACCTTATCTCAAACAGTGACCTATCATTCAGTGTCTTCAAACAACTAGAAAAACGAATGTTCCAGATCTTCATCTGATGTAAAATGGAACATTTCCCAGTGACACCGTCGCAAATCCTAAAAATCAATATTAAGAAATTGAGGATTATGTCATGGCACAACGTTAAATAAAGACTTTCTTGGGAGGAAACCCATGTTTTTACTTTTTTTTATTTTTTTCAAAAATGTGTATTGTTAGTGCAGGTATAAAGGAAATTAAAGTGTTGCAAAGTAAAGTAATTGATTCCAAAATCCCATTGGTGATTCGTCGAAGGCATTATGCTGACTCATTCTTGTCCAATTTTTGAGATAGAGAAAACTGAATAAGTGTACCATCAACTTAGGTGATGTGAACTACAAATAGGGGTCCACTGAAGCACAAGATGCACACTCCATCTAGTTTGCTGAATAAGTCAAATTTTGTATCCTTTAAGGACTTTTTGTGAGCTTTATCTCAATTCAATAACGCACCAAATTGACTAGGCAACATTATTCAGAACTGACGATTGCACCTGGTATATAAAAAGCCCAAGGGTCTTATCATTTTAAAAAGAAACATTTTGTTATCTTTGAGGCACCTTTCTTCCCTAAGTTTCCAGTATTGCATTGTTGTGTTATAGTGCCTCTTTTGATGTTTTTCAAGTACACGGAGTGTCTTGTCTTGCATGATTTTTTGTCCTAAGCCCTAGTTTCCATCATTTTCTTGTGCTTTATTCATCTTGAGGTTGGTGTTTAATTCATATCTTATTGTTTGAGCGTAAAATTGTGATTTTATATATACACAGAAAGTCATTTGAAATGTGTTGATTGATTTTTTTGGGTAGTTGTGCACTGTTAGTACTGAATTGTACCCATGAGTTAGTTTTTCTAATTTGTGCCTAATATAGCTTAAATTAAATGTGTTGGTTAATTGTTAAATTGAGTTCTCATATGTGTTGGGACTTGGTTGAATTTGATGCAAGTGAAGTCTGATTAGCCTAATGTTGTGCAATTGTATGTGTCAAGACCTAGGGGTACCCCTAGCTATTAATGAAGAATAGGACCCCAAAGGACTCCATACAAGCCACTTAATCCTCATAACATAAGAAATATACCAATTTAGAGTAAAACAATATTTCAAGTTTAAAATATTTTTTCATTAAAAAAAAGCAGAAACCTAGACACTTTGTCTCATCATAGCCATTTACGATATTGAATGAAATCAGGTCAAACCCATATAACATGTCCACAAAGGGAAAGTATATGAAAGAACTAGACATATGAAAATCCATCCTTGAACCATGAAGACTCACCAAGCTCGAAAACACTCAAATCCATGCCTAGCCAAAAGTTTGATCACCTCTAGTTCCAGACCCTAAAATTGGGGAAAATGTAGGCAAAGTAGGCGTTAGTACAAAAATGCACCAAGTATGATAGCCATGAAAAAAATTATTTGAAGCTTTCAAAAACTTATATTTCATTAGAAAGCATGCAAGTTACAAAGTTTAAAAATCATCGTAGAGATAGTTGGAGAAAAAAAGTCAGAACATCATCTTCAATGCAAGCTAGCATCATCTTTAAATTCTTTGAACACTTACGAGATACTTCTTGAAGAATGCCTTGGTTCATTAATAAATTTCTTATTATTGTGGAAAATAAGCCTCAACCTACATGAGACCATGTGATCTTTCACATGGAATCCGGTGATTCCCACACCGTAAAAAGGTTGGTCTAGTTGCCTAAGGTATGAACTGGTAATTTTAGCTTAGGTGGATCCACTAGCTAAATATCCTATGAGGGACCGTAATTTATGGGATAAGAAGATTGCTTCTTGAAACTCGGTCGGTCTACTAGAAAGCTTCCATCTCAAGATAATTCTTCTAAAAATCTGACCTTAATAAGGGAGAGCTTCCATCTCACACAATATCCACTCGATGTTAAGCATTAAATTCCCACGGAGTAGTTAATTCTTTATTAATTTGATTACTTATTAAAAGGTTCCCTTGTCCTACTGATTCAAGTAAGATCAATAGGATATGTATTTAATTATTCATGAAAGGATGCAATTGGCCTACTAATTCAAGTTAGGTCATTAAAATAGCTCTTTTAAGTTACTCATGAAAGGATACCCTTGGACAACCGATTCAAGGTATATCATTAACTTAACTCGTTAGAGTTACTCATTAAAGGGTGATCTTGGCCTGCCGATTCAAGCTAGATCATCAATTAAACACTTTATACCATGCATGAGAAACTATTACCATCTATGTTCTAGTTATGAAAGCTCTTTAGCCTTTAATCCAATTAGATTAGAAAGCCTTCATAACCTATTAATATTCATTATGTGAGAACTCTTTCACATTATGCTATGTATTATGAGAATTCCTTTCAACAACACTAGAATAATAACAATATTCTTACCAGTTTACTCTCAAAGCATCATTAAAACATTGAACGGAAAAGGGCCTAAAATACCCTCAAAGTATTGAAAATGGTACAAAATTACCCTTCATCCACCTATTGGCTCCAAAATGTCCTTCCCACCCACCTATTGGGTCCAAAATACCCTTGTCATCTACCTTTTGGTTCAAAATTGACAATTTATTTAACGGTTTTATATTTAAACTATTTAAATATTTTTTAAAATACGTGGCGCTCAACTATTTATTATAATTCAACTTATTAGTGTAATTTATAAATCAATCAACTACCCACCCATTACTAATTAAATCCCTCTAAATTAATGAATCCGTCACATTATTAATGCAAGCTACTGCCAATTGAGTGTTTTAAAAAAATATACAAGTAAATTATCATACATTCAAGTGACTACATAAAAATCACCGATAAACTTAAAAGTCTGACTATGTCCATCTTAATTATTCTTACGTCTCAATTATGTGATGTTACTTCATAGGTAACTTTTTTTCAAAATAATATATTAAAGGTTTTAAAATAAATCATAAATATTTGTAAAATTATATTTTAAAAAAGTGCATGAATTAATTCGGAATGTATTATTTCTTTGCCTTTAATCATAAATTTCTAATTCAATTTTGAAAGAAAGTGTCCTCCTAAAAAAGCTGCTCAACCTAAATTTAATTGGGGCTTTGATTCGGACTCGAATAATTTTGAATGTCATTTTCAGTAATCTATAATTTCATTGTGTTTAAGTAGTTTTTATGACGATTTTGATATTATAATTGAATTATTAATTGAGTGAGGTTTAGTTAGTAATGAGTGGGTAGTGGATTGGTTTATAAATTATATTAATAAATTAAATTTATAATTAATAGTTGAATGCCCAATATTTAAAAAAATATTTAAAGAGTTTAATTTTAAAACAATTAAAAAATGGTCAATTTTGAACCCAAAGGTGGACGACAAGGGTATTTTGGAGCCAATAGGTGGATGGAAAGGGCATTTTGGAGCCAATATGTGGATGAAGGGTAATTTTGTACCATTTTCAATACTTTAAGGGTATTTTAGGCCCTTGTCCGAACATTGAATAGCGGCAGTAGCTTGGAAACAAGTTCCTTTAGCCCACAGGCCAAAGAAATCTTCATGAGGGGCTCCATGGGTCGTGGTGCTTGCCATGAGTCGTGGTACCTCTCGTGATCCTTGAGGAAATGTCTTGCCATCATGCCTCTGCCTCTCAAGTGGTTAAGTCTTCATCAAGATACTTCCCACAAGTCGTGGTCTTCACCACTGGTCGTGAAGTGACTGGTGGAGGTAACCCAATGTTGGGCAGCCTTAGAGAGGACTGAATCACCATCACGAGTGGAACCAAGTGGCATGGTGACCTGCACGAGGCATGAAGGCTCAGGTTGAATGGTGGGCAGTGCCTTGGTAGCATTGGCCAGCCTTTGTTTAACAGCCTGGAAACTAATAGACTAAACCAAGGCCACAAGCTAGGATTCTAAGGTGTGTTGGTTGTAAATAAAATTGTAGATGAGACTTTGTATGTTTATAGTAAGGAGTTTAATGGTGGTGCATGGGAAAGGCAACCATCAAGGCAAAAGGGCAAGCCTACGCAAAGGGCCATAGTTGTCGAACCTTGGTAGCTACTGCCCAAGGGGTTCACGAATAGTGGTGTGTACCACGATCCATGAAGGGGTCCGTAAAGATGACTTAGGTACTTGGGAAGCCAAGAAAAGAGACCAAGTCGCTTCTCCAAGGCTCATGAGGCACTTCACGAGCTGTTGGCTTGACCACGGCCCGTCAAAGTGCTCGGGAAGGTGCCTTAGCAATTTAGGGTGTTTGAGGGACAATAAGGGGGCGTTTAGTTACTGGTTAGAGTTATGCAGGTATTAGTTATACAGAGTTTAGTTATGCAAGTATTAGTTATGCAGGGTTTAGTTATGCAGGGTTTAGTTATGCAGGTATTAGTTATGCAAGTATTAGTTATGTAGGGTTTAGTTATATAGGGTTTAGTTATGCAGGTATAAGTTATGAAGAGTTCAGTTATGTAGGTATTATTTAGTTATATAGATATTATAACACATGAATTATTAACTATTGAATATTATTTGTTGTAAATTATATATATTATTTACAAATAAATAAGCAAAAAGTATAATTTTACCTCATTTTGAATAAAAAGTAAAGGAAAAAAATTCTCCCTCTATATATTGTTTATATATTTTTAATATACCAAATATATGATTTACATATAAATTTATGTTCTAAATAATAAATATTAATTAAATATGTAGAATGTATTTAATAATATATATATATATATATATATATATATATATATACACACACACATATATATAAAACATATGTGCAAACAAAATATATACGATTCAATTTATAATATTAATATAATATTTGCATTTGGAATTCAAATGAAAACAAAATTAAAAAATATTGTTCAGTAAAGAAGAAACAAAAACAAAATATAAAATTTTCTTACAAAAATAAATATTTTGCTTTTGATTTGATACAAATTAGCCATGGATAGATGGTAAAAAAGGCTAAACTGCAACATTAGCGGCGATTAATTTTGCACAAGCTTTGCGGCTTAAAAAAAAGATGTTGTGTATTAAGAATTTTTTTTGGTTAAAAAAAACAAGTAGTTAGGTAAAGTTCTCAATGGAGGAAAAAAAGGGTTAAAGTTTTCAATAAGAAATGATTTAAAAATAAATTAATCGGGGTAATTGTGTAATATATTATTTTAATACATGTATAACTAACACCCGCATATTATTCCACCTTCTACCCCGGATAACTTATACATAGATTCCCTCATAAGTTATGTTAGTATTAATTATGTAAGATTACAAAAAACACAATCAAACACCATATAAAATTAAAACATATAACTTTTTATACAACATTTAGAACTCTACCTACCAAACATTGTATAAGTTAGGTTGACTTTTCAACTTAATAAAAAATTTATACCAAACATCGTAAAACTAATACCACTTTTAATTCATCAATAAAAGGTACTCTTATAGAGTAACCAAACGGCCCCTAAGGGTTGTGAGATCTACTAGTCTATGGACGACATGCACCACTTAAGACCGTAGTTCCCTTTACAAACTGTCCAGTGGTCGTGGTGCCTCGGACGAGGCTGTCTAGTGAGGGTCAATTAAGTAAAATCCTATTCGACTAGGTTTAGGTGAAGGGTTGTTTGGGATGTCTTTTATTCACCCAAATAAAGTATTTTAAGTCATTAGCCCCCAAATTTGAGTAACTTTACATTAGACCTGATTCAAAATCTCAAATCACTCCTCTCTCAAATAGTTTTCTCTCTATGAAGAACCTCCATTAAAGAAGAAGCTAGGGTTGAAGCTAAGGTCAATCACAAAGGCTCAATTGCTAAAGGCTTGCGCTATGGATTTGTTTAAGGTATGTTAAGATCTTTTTACATGGGTTCTTCCACCCACTGAGTCCCCTAGATTTTTCCCTAATTTGTGAAGGAGAAACCTAATGAAGGTAGGGTTACTTCCAATGTATGGGTTTTAGGTGGATATGACTCCAAAAGGTTTGATAGCCTTCTTCTTAAAGCTTTCTAAGTCTTTCTTTGCATTCTCTTAGTGATCTTAGTCTTCTTACTTGAGCTTACAAGATCGTCAAAAATTCATGAGTAAGTTGTCAAGTGCAACACGGAGCTTTATAAGACTCTAAGTTCGTAACACAAGGGCCTAAAATATGTCTCAACTATTTTAATTGGTACAAAACTATCCTCTATCCACCTTTCAACCCTCAAATATAACTAATATCAACACTTTGGCTCAAAAATACTCTTATTTCTAATGGTATGCACTTATAAGGTAGATGAAAGATAATATTGTACCAAACCCCATAGTTAAAGGGTATTTTAGGACTTTTTCTGTAAAATAATTTGAACTTACTTGATTT